TTGGAAGTGCCCAGACAAGGCCCAGTTGTGAAGCAAGGCAGGCAGCTGCTGCCAGCCTTGGGCCTTCTTTTGATAGCTTTGGGGCTCCCTGACCCAGCTGCTGCCTGTTTGACAGGTTTTAGGCTGAGAAAGCACAGGCCATTCTTATGCAAAAGCCACTGTGCACAGCTTGGGGTTGTAAATTGGGTAGGGCGGGGTCTCAGGGAATCACCAGGGCGGAGCAAACAGCAATGGCTACCAGGCAGCCCTGCACCAGAGAGGTCCCAGCGAAGGAACAATGACCACTCCAAGGACCTCCGTCTAAAAGAAAGCCACCCTCAGAGGTTCCTGCCCCGATGCCACAGTCCAGTTTCTCCCCGTATGTGTCTGGGTCCCCCAGAGTCTCGCCTGGAACTGGAGTTCAGAGCAAGTGAGAGCTTGTATCTCCCACCCGATTAAAAAAGCAGCGCACCAGGGTGCCAGTCTGTTCCGCACTTCCACACCTCCTACCAGTCTCAATGTGCTTTCTTTTTTACCTCTCTGGTTGTAGTTCTTCCACTCAGCCAGCTTTCCCATGGTTCTGGATGATAGTTGTTCTGTCTTTTAGTTGTAATTTTGATGTGGTTGTGAGAGGCAGCAAGTACAGGTGTTTACCTATGCCTCCATCTTGGTTCTCCTTCTTGGTTAATTTTATTTTTTATTTATTTTTTAAAAATATATATTTTATTGATTTTTTACAGAGAGGAAGGGAGAGGGAGAGTTAGAAACATCGATGGGAGAGAAACATTGATCAGCTGCTTCCTACACACCTCCCACTGGGGATGTGCCCGCAACCGAGGTACATGCTCTTGACCAGAATCGAACCTGGGACCCTTCAGTCTGCAGGCCAACGCTCTATCCACCAAGCCAAACCGGTTAGGGCCCTGGTGGTTAATTTAATTAGGAATATTTTTAAACATACACTTGACATACCCATCATCCAGTTCAACAGTTATTAACATTTTGCACTTCTGCACCAACTAAATTAAATTCCAGAACATTCTGTCATTTCACCCTACATATCCTGTGTGCATCTCTTAAGGAATATGGACATTTTCTACATAACCACAATGCTATTCTCATACCTAACAATATTAACACCACGTTTAGTTTTTAGAGGATTTGTGTGTATGTGTGGAATCTGTTCCCTTTGTAGGGAAAGGGAATGTTGCCTGAGAGGTGGGGGTTGTGCAGAAATCTCCAGGGGAGCTGTGTTTCCTACTGGGGAATGTGATGTGTTGGGCTCCATCCTGCTTTTGGTGGGTGGACCCCTTGAACCTGTACAATCGTGTTCTGTGGAGCAAAACAGCCCTTTATCCAGGATGACAGGGGAGTCACCTCCAAGCCAGTGACCGCTAGGATATATTTTGGACAGTATTGACTCATGAAAAATGCAAGACTTGCCATTTTTGGTCGACTAGTCCACTTCCTAAGAGGTAGCCACTTAGGCAGCATGAGGTCCCTGAGGTCACACTCACCAGAATGTCCCGGGTGCCATCGAGGATGGGGACCTGGAGCATTGGCCATGGAAGGGGGTGCTAAGTATTGGAATGGCCCTACTGTGTAGGGACCAGGTAGTCAAGCTGTTTAAAATACATTGTACCAGACAGTATCTTGGTTTCTGAAGGCACATCCCAGTGAAAAGAATAAAACAGGTGACATGGAAAGACCATATTTGCCAAGTCGGGGGGTATTTTTCTTGTTTGGTTGGTGTTTTGTTTTTGTTTTGTGTTTGGAACTAAGAACTCAAATAAGCACAGCCCAGCCTTTGTGACCTGCCCTTTCGCAACAGGACTCTCACATTAACTTTTGTGATGGCCCTGTTTTGTCATCTCTGCCCAGAGAGACTTGTCTGGGTCAGCTCAGCTCAGCTCTCAGAGGTTCCATCAAGGTCGTGCATCCAAAGACCAGCTTTGTCCCCTTCTAAGAACTAGTCTTCTGTAGCAGGGTGCCTACTGGGAATGCTGCTCCTTTCTAAGGTGTAGGTGGTAGGTACCTCAGCTTCTTCCGGACCTAACATCTGTAGGGATCCACTAGGCCTCAGGCAGGAACACTTCCCGTTCTTGTCCTGAAGAGTTTCCATTCCATACCCTTCAGAGCCCCTTGGCCTGCAGGCCTGGTGAGGGTACCCAGTGTTGCCAACAAGGTCACGGGAGGATGCCCATCCTACCCCCCACCCCCATTTTGCAGACATCACGTGGTCAGTGTCCAGGTGCTGGCTAAAAACAAAAAGGAGAAGAAAGTAGGTCCCTTCTCATTTCGACTCTTGAGTCATGCTGTGCAGAGGGACATGTCAAGGTGGCACAGTCCCCACTCCTTGGAGTCCAGTGTATTCTAGAAAGACCGAACCTAAGGTGGCCCCAGAGCCACAGAGCTCCTGCAGTACCTCCTCCTTCCTCCCTACCCCCCCCCCATGTCTGCTTCAAGGTCACAAGGTAGCCCCACTCCAGATGTGCCCTCCCCCCCCAGCTGGCTAGTACCATGAAGGTGAAGGGGGTACAGCATCAAACTTGTCACTACCCAGACTGAGGGGCTTCTGTCATCAGCCTGACTTCCCAGTAGCACCTGGTCCTTGGGGGACTGCCAGCCCAGGACTGGCCCTCAAAAGAGCCATTCTTTTTTTCCCTCTTTTTGTGTTAATCCTTACCCAAGGATATTTTTTTCCATTGCTTTTAGAGCAGCGATCGCCAACCTTTCGGACCTCATGGACCACCAGTGGTCCGAGGACCACCAGTTGGCGACCGCTGTTTTAGAGAGTAGAAGGGGGGTGGGTGAAGAGAGACACATAGATTGGTTGCCTCCCAACTAGCCCCGGAATCAAACCTGCAACCCAGTTATGTGCCCTTGACTGGGAATCCAACCATGATCCTTTGGTGCACGGGCCAACGCTCTAACCACTGAGCAACCGGCCAGGGTTCATTTTTTGAACCATTTAAAGTGAGTTTTAGACTTCATAATGCTTCACTCCAGAGCAGGGGTCCTCAAACTACGTCCCGCGGGCCACATGCAGCCCGCCGAAAACATTTATCCGGCCCACCGGGTGTTTTTGCCGCCGCTGTGTGCATAGGAATTTGTTCATAGTTTTTTTTAAAACTATAGTCCGGCCCTCCAACGGTCTGAGGGACAGTGAACTGGCCCCCTGTTTAAAAAGTTTGAGGACCCCTGCTCCAGAGTGTTCCACATGCATCTCCTAAGACTTTCTACATAACCACTTCCATCCTTTCACATCTAAGACAGTTTTTATTTGCTTTCTAGCACATAATTAAATTTCCACAAAATACTTTGATTTTTTTTTCTAGTAGAGGTGTTATATATTACATTTGGTTATAGATCTTCTTGTCTCTTTTAGTCCACTTTTGTTTTTTTAATGGCATTGACTTTAAAAAAATACATTTTTATTGATTTCAGAAAGGAAAGGAGAAGGAGAGAGACATAGAAACATCAATGATGAGAGAGAGTCATTGATCAGCTACCCCCTGCACACCCCATACTGGAATGGAGCCCGCAACCTAGGCATGTGCCCTTGACCAGAATCGAACCTGGGACCTTTCAGTCCACAGGCCAACGCTCTATCCACTGAGCCAAACTGTCTAGGGCATCATTGACTTTTTGAAGAGACCAGGTTGCTCATCTTGTAGAATATCAGCATTCTGTGTTTGTTGGCTGTCATGATGCTGTTGAATATACATGCCTGTGTGCCGGCTATTATCTGTACTCGTGAAGTTAGGTCTGGAGGCACAACTGGCTTTAGACCCAGCATTTTAGGCAGAAACCTAAAGGCTTTGTGGATTTTGTATGCATGGCACTGGTCAGAGAGGCTGGGCTCCATTACTGGGGGAATTGTGACTGCAGGATCGTGAGGTTGAAAGGCTTTTCCTTGGTGATTGGTAAGTCCTGGGGGTGCAGGTACTTTGCCTCCATGCCTCACACCTGCTCCCCAACACCCTCCACTGTGTGGTTAAAAGCCTTTGATGATTCTTGCTTGAGTCATTTATTTTCATCAGCACTTTCAAAGTGATGACATTCCAATTCTATCATTATTTCTACTTTTATTGGCTTTCATTCTTCTATAGAAAGAATTTTTCCTCATCCATCAAGGATGAACTACACAGTTATCCTAAAAGATGAAGTAAATGCATGGTCCTTTGCCTTTTACTACCAGCTTTCAACATAAAGAAGAAAGGCTCCTGTGTTCCCTTTGTCAGAATCTAATATTTGGCTTTCCTTCCTGCTTCCTTGCCTTATCTTAATTGGATCAAGGGCAGCTGCTCCATCAGCAACCTGGGCTGAATGTAGTTTCCTGATTTAAAATAATTGTCAGCAACTCCTGACCCTGATTTGAACCTCTAGTGTCTTGCAAGTCTCCCTCTTTCTCTCTCTTTTCACTCATGAGTTTCGTTTGCTGGATAAGGGAGGAGAAATGACCCACCTAGCAAGTGCCAATTTTTCTGGAAATCCAGCAGGTCATTGGCCCCTGCCCAGGCTGCTCTGATGGTGTTGATGGCCACTGGCCCAGGTCGGGAGAAGTTAGACTGCTGGGGCTGTGTGCTATGTGCAATGGAGAAATGTGACGTGAGGGAGACCAGGACACTGGCCAGGGAGGAGTGGTGCTCAAAGGGCACTTAAGAGGGGCAGAGAGGAGAGAGAAAACTAACCAAAGGCAGGCTGCTCTCTGGGGGTTCAGGAGTTTCCAAGTAAACAGTGAGGGCCTAGGTCCCCATCCTGCCAGCCCTTCCCAAGCCTTAGTTTACTTGTCTGCAATGTGGGGGTGACTGTGACACCTGGTGCAGGGGATTATTGTGAGCTTCATGCAGTTACTAAAGGGGACCACCATCCATGGCGGGGCATTAGTCTTCCCATCTTTCCTGCGTCACAGGTTAGGAGGAGGAAGAGGAAGTGAATGTGCCATGATGGGATCTGTGGGCTGGTGGGGTGTTTAGGGGAGGTTGGCTGCTCTCCTGACCCCACCTCTCTCCCTGCAGGTGTGAATGACAGAGGTGGTGCCATCCAGCGCCCTCAGCGAGGTCAGCCTGCGCCTCCTCTGCCACGATGACATAGACACTGTGAAGCATCTGTGTGGTGACTGGTTCCCCATCGAGTAAGTTAAGTGGTGCCCTCTGCCCTGCAGTTGCAGATTGGAGGGGTGGGGTAATGCCCGTGGATCTGATGAAGCTGGAAGGCTTGTGCAGAGGTGAGGATGTCCTGGAGGTGCCATGGTGGCCCAGAGTCACCTTGCCTATCAGAGGAGCCCAGGCCCTGCTCCCTGACAGCCATCAGATCCTTTCCATCTCACTCTACTTTATGCAGAGAGTTCTCCAAAAGGGCTTTGCTAAGTACCACCAACTTTACTTACAAAGATGTTCGATGTACTGCTATTTATAAGTCAGAAAATTGAGAAGCAACTTAAGTATCTTAACAGTAAAGAATGGCTGACATATATTAGGGTACCTGCATACGAAAATGAAATATTATTCAGTCAGGAAAAGTGAGATCTGTCATCAAGATATACTTGACAAGGAGAGTTTTTTAATGAGATATTAAGTGAAAAGAGTAGACTAGAAAATTGTATGTACCACAATTCCACTTTTATTTGAAAACATGCATAAGATAAAAGCCTATGAAGATATATACTATCTAGCAAAGTGTTTTTGGTGTTTTGGAATGGGTAGATTATTAGTAGCTACAAGTTTGTTTTATTTTGCTTGTCTGTATTTCCTCTATTTTTCTGTAATATGCACATAGAGCTTTTGTTGTGAGAAAAATAAGTACAAACTTTTAAAAATTAAAAATAAACAAGGTCCTGCTAAACACCATGTTTCTATGAGTCTTAACCTCTGGTTTCACCCACTGCCATCAGGAAAGGAACTTGGGTGATGCCAGGCCTCACAGAGCCTTCTGGTGGGTGCTCAGTGGCCTCTGCAGAGCAGACCTGAGCGGAGCACCTCTCCACTGTGTCTCCACCCTCTTCCAGCTGTTGGTCTCAGGAAAGGCATCTGGACTATACTTGTTATGTCCCAAACCCACAGACCAATAAACCCAGAATGTCCTGTCCCTTCACCAAAACTCCTTACTGGGGCTGAGTCATCTGTCTTTCGTCATTGTCATAGGGCTTTGCATGAAACAATCTCTTTTCTGCTCCCCTTGGGTCTTGAGTTTGAACTCTTCCAGCTGCCCCTCCAGGTACTGCTCTCATGGAGACAATGTCATGGGAGGTTCCCCCCCCCGCCCCGGCTCTTATCTCTCTATCTTGTAAAATAATTTTTCCATCAGAAAGTTCCCATCTTGTCTGGATAGATTGCTGCTTTAAGATGATAATTCACTGAGAATGATACACTTTGGTGGAGACTAAGTGTTGGGCGGGCTCCTTATCAATCCTGGAGCAGTGGACAAAGTTGTCTCGAGTCCCCTGTGGGTCTGCTGTCTGAAGCATGAGGTTAGTTGGACTTGGCCTTTGGCAGTTTCACCTAAGTCTGTTCTCCTCAGGTACCCAGACTCATGGTATCGTGACATCACCTCCAACAAGAAGTTCTTTTCCCTTGCTGCAACCTACAGGGGTACCATTGTAGGAATGATAGTAGCTGAAATAAAAAGTAGGACCAAGATACACAAGGAGGTAAGCATGTGTGGCAGTGATGGGGCTGCCAGGCCCTTGGGACAGAATCACACTGTCTGCTCTGTGGCCCTTTCCCTTAGGAGCTCAGACCATGTATGAGACTCATATCCAGGTGGTTTCTTTCTGTGTGTACGTAATACAGTCATATGTACATTAAGTAACATGTCCTAACTGCAGGCTTCTTTCTAATGACTGTCATTTTGAAATTGGGAGGGGGTGTAAATGATTCACTGAGAATCTGCAGAGTTGTAAGGGTCTGTCATTTGTATTGGTGACAGTGTCACAGAAACTGCTAATACTGCTGTGATTTGTTAAAGGAAATGCTAAGTTCCAGTTACAGGTTAGGAAAAACAAATATTTTTTTTCCTGTTCAACTTCATAGACCCCTCCAAGATCTATTTAAGAACCCTGGAGAGTCTTTGGACCCTGAGTTAGCAAGTCCTGCTCTAAATGTAAAATGCGATGTTATGGTCACAAACACATTTTTTCATGTGGTTGACTTGGGTCAAGATTCTGCCTAGCCCTAGCCAGTTTTGCTCAGTGGATAGAACATCGGCCTGTGAATCAAAGGTTTCCAGGTTCGATTCTAGTCAAGGGCACGTAAGAAAAAACACAGACAATTAGATCTTCAAAATAAATAAATTAAAAAAAAAACATTCTGCCTAATGATTTGGGTCATCTTATAGAGTGACTGAGTAGCATTTATACATAGGTATTTACTCCAAGGAGGGGAAAAACCCCACCAACAACTGGCAGCTGCTTCTATCTGTTTGGCTTGAGGCTATTTATTTAAAAGTGCAAGAAGGATATCTCTCCCTTTTGTTTTATTTATTTATTTTTCAAAATATATTTTTATTGATTTCAGAGAGGAAGGGAGAGGGAGAAAGAGATAGAAACATCAGTGATGAGAGAGAATCTTAGATTGGCTGCCTCCTCCTGGGGATAGAGCCGGCAACGGGCATGTTCCTTGACGGGGAATCGAACCGTGATCTCCTGGTTCTTAGGTTGACGCCCAACCACTGAGCTAGCTAGGCAGATCTCTATCCCTTTTAAAGACCCAACCCACTCAGGTCTACCTTAATTTGCCTGTAATTAGATTCTGGCAAAGTTGGTTTCTTTTAAGAGTAACTTTTCTATCCTAGCTTTCTTCTCATTTATTTCCTTCCATTTTTCTGTGTTAAGATACAGCAAAAAAAGAAACATTGGCGTTTTCAGCAAGCATCAGTATCTTTTTGCTCTTTCACAGAACAAACTGCCCCACCTCCCCTCCTCTGACTTGTTCCCCAAAATCCACTCTATGAAGCTCTTCCTGTGTGCCCTCAGCAACTGTCCAGCCCCACACACATGGTGACTAGATCTCTGTACTCCTTTGAATGTGTGGGTTTTCCCATGAGGGCAGAGATTGGGATCCTTTCCTTCTACTTCCTGGGTATCACGAGAGCCTTTGCACTCTGGCACTTTTCTCTGGCCCTGCTGAGAGGCAGAATGACTTCAACACTGAGGAAAGAGCAGGGGCTGTCAGAAGACATCAGCTGGGGAATGAAGTACCTGCTTTACCTTCCTGACCATGGGCTTCAAGTAACAAGAGCAATACGGATCCCTCCCTGAGATTGAGTTTGCCTCTGTCCAGCTTAACTGTAATGTGGAGTGCTGGGGCCGGGGTCAGGGCCAGGAGAGTGGTGAGTAGGGACAGGGACAGGCCAACCCATGTCCAGCACACGGGAGCCACTCGGTGAACAGTGGATAGGGATGAGAGAGGTCAAGTCACCAAGCTTTCTTTCCATGGGGGAGAATCCACCAAGCCTTCTTCTTTACAAAGTAGAAGAACATCAACCTCATTGTGGTCAGATTCACAACTCTCTCAGTCCAGAATTTTACCTCTGAACCAAGAAACCCACAAGGGTTGGTGGGCCATGGTGTGACACTCTGCTTGGTGTGGACAGCAGAGAGGCTACTCAGACTCCCCACCCTCTGTACTCTAAGACCACCTGGGAGCAGCAAAGGATCCTTTAATTAAACTTTTTTTTTAAGATTTTTAAAAATTGATACTTAGAGAGAAAGTAAGGGGAAGGGAGAGAGAAGGAAACATCGATGTGAGAGGCTGCCTCCTGCACATCCCCTAATTGGGATCAAGATTGCAACCCGGGTGTGTGACTGGGAGTCAAACCGGCAACCTTGCTCTGGACAACGCCCAACCAGCTGAGTCACACAGGCCACAGGGCTAATTAAACTTTTAAAACTTTGTGTTTGTCTGGCTGTTAGATCTCTTGGTGTGTCAGTTGACACGCGTGAGCACCATATAGTGCCCACACAGCATAGTCATTTCCTTTTTACCATCATAGCTTCACTTGTCTGGCATCAGTGTCCTTCCTTGTATGGTCTACCACCCTTCCAAAGAGAAGCGATTTTTTGTGAGTGTTCTTATTTTAGCAGAAAGGCCCACACCCTCTTGTTTCCATAGGATGGGGTTGACTCTCCATTATTCTCTGTTCTATCCCTTCCTGCTCCAGTGGCCCCCCAGGTGTTGTGGCTGGGAGAGTCAGCACATGAGATATGTTCTGCAGTGGGACCAGGTGCCTCAACTGTGAACCTGACTTTATTTCTGACTTTTTCTTTAGGATGGAGATATTCTAGCCTCCAACTTCTCTGTTGACACACAAGTTGCATACATTCTAAGTCTTGGAGTAGTGAAGGAATTCAGAAAGCACGGCATAGGTAAGGGGCGGTTGAAATAATGATTTTTGGCATATACACTCCACCACCACCACCACCCACTGCCCTGTTGACCTTCAATTCAGGCCATGCTCTTTCCACACATTACCAGGTCTTTCTGAATGGCCTCGTTCCAAAGCTTACAAGATCAGATTACTAACAACTCCCTAAGGTCCTCATTACAGAATGGGCACCTTTTAACCACACCTGCTGACACACACACACGACTTATATCTGGTCACAAGGTATGCTTGATTAAGAATAGCAAACATAATTGATGAAACAGTCCTAGCTCCCATGGATCAGATTCTTTATCTGACGTCTCCAACTTCCCATCCCACTCAGCCACAGCAGTCTTCATTGTAACCCAGGTCTGCCCATTCCACATTTTCCTGGGCTTAAGTTTACACTTTTTGTTGTCTGAAAGGCTAGTGAATCTCCACTGTGGATCCAGCCCCTGGGAGGGAACTATGCAGCCCGATCCATGTTCCTGGACAGCCAGTGGTCTGCAGCTAACAGGCCCTGTCTGGCTGTGGGATTTTAGGGACTTTGACAGTGGGTGGTTATGGGAAGTCTTTGATAGAATGGCAGAGAGATCTGTAGAGATCTCTGAGGAGGTCACTTCCTTGTCTGCCTTATTCCTTCTCACCTGCCCTGCCATGCGTGACTGTTGCTTCTTTGCCTACAGGTTCTCTTTTACTTGAGAGTTTAAAGGATCACATATCCACCACTGCCCAGGACCACTGCAAAGCCATCTACCTGCACGTCCTCACCACCAACAACACAGCAATAAGCTTCTACGAAAACAGAGACTTCAAGCAGCACCACTATCTCCCCTATTACTATTCCATCCGTGGGGTCCTCAAAGATGGCTTCACTTATGTCCTCTACATCAATGGTGGCCACCCTCCCTGGACCATCTTATATCCTTTTCTTCTCAGGGGTGAGAGACAGTGGCTTCCTAGCATCAGCTGGAGCTGTGGTTGCTTTCAGATGACATTCACAAAGCAAGCTCACAGGATGCATTTTTTCCTGATGAGATGATGATGTGGGTAGATCTGATTTGCATGTATTAGGAATTGATGATCTAGTTGCAGATATTGGGAAAGCAGACATGCTCTGGCATTCATTGTTCCCTGGACTTGAGCCCAGTATAAGAGGTGGATTTTTAATTCTCCTGGTCCAAGATCCACCCATCCATTCATCCATCTATTTACCCAATAAGTATTGGTTGAGAGTTTCCTGTTCCTGGTATGTGTGGGCTACAATAGTGAACAAAATAGACAAAGCGCCTGCCCTGGTGGGGCCTGCATGCTGGCAGGGGAGAAAGCAGATAAGGGAGGTGAAAGAGTTGTTTGCTATTTTGAACACTTAGTTAAAACCTTTCTTACCAGAATGTAGGGTATGTGACCCAGTGGTGTGTCCCTTCCCTGCTCCCTCCCTTTTAACTATCTCTGGCCCTAAACAGGTAAGAGGGAAGCTAGAAGACTTCTTAATAGTCATAGGGTGTGGCCCAGAAAATACTGTGTGTACGTGTACCTGTGTGTAATTACTAGTAAATAAATGAGTCTAGGATTTATCCATTTCATAGGGAAATAAACGGGAGAGAGGTGGTACAAAGCCCACAGGTCTCCATGCTCATGTGAAGATGGGTCTCTGTGCTAAGGGCTTAACACTGTTGACCACCCTTCCCCCCCCCCCCCCCCCCCATGTCACAGGAATGAAGCCCTGCCCCTCTGAGGACTGAGGGTAGGGGGAGGACCGGGAACACTTGCTCTTTTGCTTTACCCCTCCCCGCAGCACCCAGTCCCTGTCTGTTAACCTTAGTCTGTGTGTCCATGTGCCTGAGGCCTCACCTGGAAGGGCCTTTTGTACGCACATGCTGCCTTTATTATTTTGCATAGTGGAGGCCCCTCCATCTATGGAGGTTTTCCAGCACTCTGCAGAGGCTAAGTGGACTTTCGGCCTCCCTTGAGAATGGCATGCTGTCTGCACTCAGTCCTGCAGGTTGCTGTTTGGGCCTCTGCTGACAGTGCCACTCCAGGGGTGTGTGGGCAGGGAAGGCGAGTTGGAGTCTTCCTTAACAGAGTCCCACGGACTACATCCAGCACCTGGGTTCTGCTCTAGCAAACCTGAGCCCCTGCTCCATCCCACACAGGATTTACCGCCAGGCCCACAGCCTGCTCTGCAGCTTCCTGCCATGGTCGAGCATCTCCACCAAGGGCGGCATTGAATACAGCCGGACCATGTGATGCCAGCCGGGCAGCCTCCAACAGGTCCCACCCCTTGGCGCCCTGCGGAGCCCACCTTCCTGGCCATTTGACCTCAACTGTGTTCTGCAGAGGAGCTGGCCCATCACCTGCCCCAGCTGCAGGCCCGGTGCTACATGGGCTCGGGAGCAGAGCGTCGTGGGGCAGGTATGCCCGGTCTCCAACAGGTATGCCAGAACAGGTGGTGGGGAAAGGGGGATCAGAACTGAGTGGGATGATGGTCTTGAGAAATGGAGGGCCTGACGCTTCCAACAATAAAAACAGAAGGCTCTGGATAGGCACCTGCTGCACTCAGGGCTGAGGTAGTTCCTGAGCAACTCTCAGAAACTTGAAGGAGGATTGCCCTAGCCGGTTTGGCTCAGTGGATAGAGCGTCAGCCTACGGACTGAAGGGTCCTGGGTTCAATTCCTGGTCAAGGGCACATGCCTGGGTTGTGAGCTCGATCCCCAGTAGGAGGCATGCAGGAGGCAGCCAATCAGTGGTTCTCTCTCATCATTGATGTTTATCTCTCTTCCTCTCTCTTCCTCTCTGAAATCAATTATATATATATATATATATATATATATATATATATATATATATATATGAAATTTGAAGGAGGAAAGCAGAGTCCTGAGCCCTTGCCCAGAACCTCATCTTTTCCCTTGAACAACTTTTAAAAAAATAATGCATTCACAGAAATGGAAAAGGTACCAAAAGATCAAGCCCTTTCTCTGCCCCCACCCCGCCATCCATAACCACTTATTACCTTTCCAAGGGGTGTCTGGAGCTGATGTCAGCTTTAACACCAGCGGCATCATCAGCTCAATGAAGTTCGCTGAGGTGGGCACCTTATAGATGAGGGCTCTGTTCAGACATGGCCACTTTTTTTTTTCTTTTCTTTCAAAATAATAGCTTTATTTTTATTATGATTATAAACATGTTACATGGTCATTACTTTAAAACTCAAACCATATAGAAAAGTGTGAAGAAAAAAAGTAAAACCTCATCACTGAGAGAAAACCACTAATATTTTGGTAAACCTCTTTTCAAACATATTTGTATGCCTATAAACCTATACAGACATAAAGATATAGACATGGCCACTTCTGAACACCATGAGTACTATGGGGAGCCAGTCTCTCTCAGACCTCAGAGAACATCAGAGTTGGAAAGGGTCATGGGGACCCCAGGGCTCATCCGCTTATGCATGGACACGGCCTAGAGCAGATTGTTGATTTGAGCCAAGCTCACACAGCGTGCTCCATGGCCACTTGGGCTGGCATGCCCAGTGCCTTGATTTGTGCTGGGACTAAGGAACCCAGATGTCACTAAAAGGGACTCTGGGTCTAGAGAAGGGTTCACCCTTCGGGGGCACCCAGGGCCAGCAGTGGGTTCCTAGGCCGGACATAGTGTGGGCATAGTGTTCCTGTGGAGACCTTCACCCCTGCTCCCCTCTTCTCTTTCCTGCAGGCTCTTCCAGCCCTCCTTCCTGCTCTGGAAACCTCTGCCCTTGCCCTGGTCTGGCCCCCATGTGAGTGCACCAGCCTCATAGGCTGGCCACAGTGTTCATTGTGGTCAGTTGCTTCTGCTGCCCTGGGAGTATGGGGGCAGGAGAGGGCTTCCTTCCCTGCACGTCCTCACTGGCCTCTTCCCCCGCACTGCCCGTTCCTTCCAACTCCTTCCTCCAAAGCCGGAATTAACTCCTGGGAGGGAGGAACCCAAGTGTTATGGATAGACTTGGCCCTAAAGACACAGGAGCCTCAAAACAATGAAGAGGTGAAATAAAGGGAATGCCAAACCCTTGTAAAGAACCAGCCTCAGAAGCCTGGGGGGCAGGAGCAACCCCTACCTCCCCAGGAGGGGCTGGCGAGTGGTGGGAGGCTTTTCACCCAAGCACAGAGCTCTGGGGCTTGGCTCCCTGGCATGGTGGTCAGTTAATGGGAAGGTTTCCCACTCCTCTGTTGGCAGTCCTGCTGCCTCAGAGAGCGAGGAACTACCCATCACATGCTGGATGTGCCATTCAGTTGAACTGCCCCAGGGAGCCGGGCTGAGGACAGGTGCTGGTGAGGGTCCCAAGGGCCCTCCCCTCCAGCCCCCCAGTTCCGTGAGATGCAGTTCTGAGGCCTGACCATATGCAAACACGAAGAATTGAGTGTGGTGTTTGATCAAGTAGGACCTGGTCTTTGAGGCTGGGGCAGTCGCTTGCCTTGTGGTCCTCAGCCTCTGGGAACAGAAGAGGCTGTGTCAGTGCCAGGAAGCATGCATGTGGACATCACTTGCTTCTGGCGTTCCCTCCACCCCATCCCCCAAAGCTGCTTGCTCCCTGCCCTGCCCTCCAGAGTAAAGGGGGTTGGCAGAGTCGTGCCCAGCATTGCTGCAGTGTCCTGGAGCCATCGCCACAGTGCACAGTCTGAGGGAGGAGAAGGTGGACCAACCAAGCAAGAGGGCCTCGGATTGGCATCCTTCCCTCCCTCGGAACTCCCAGCCCAGGGGCTCCTCTGGCCTTGCGGTGGGGGAAGGGGTTTCTCGAGATGAAGGCGAGCCTGCGCAGGAAAACCACCTCTCCTTCCTCGGCCACTTCACACTCTCACTGACTGGTCCCCCCTCCGTGCTGACATTGACTTTGAGCTGAGGCCCAGCTCAGTGTCCTCTCTAATCTGAATCAACGGTTATCATGTGGTTTTTATTTCTGCCCCACGGGGTAAGGGAAGAGTCTTCCAGAAGGTTCTGCCTTGGACTTGGATAATTGAGCCGAGGCCTTGCCCTGCCCCTTCCTCCTTGCCCCTAATCACGGCAGTATCTAGCCCAGTGTTGAACAGATTGTAGTGTTCTGATTACAAACAAATAAATAGACTTTAATTGGTCACATCCTGTCTTGCACTTTGGGCCATTCCTGTGGGGATTTGCCCCCTTGCTGGGACAGTGGTTTTAGGTGGCCCGGGAGCTGCTTGTTGGTTGCTTTCTAGTCCCGAGGATGGCTTCCAGGTAAAAGGACCGATTGTGTCATTATCCTGCCAAAGAATGCAGTCCTGGGAAGAGGGTCTAGAGTCGAAAAGCACAATTGGGTTCTTTCTCTAAACTCAGAAGATCCTCAAGCAGCTGCCTGCATTTGTTTAGGGGTCTCCTTGGCCAACCTTAGGCCTTGAGCTGGGGCACAGTCCCCTGGCGGTCGCTATCCTGGCTTAGAGAAGGCTCGATAGGTGACTCAATGCAGTGGTCAGGTAGGAACCCTGGGCCAGTGCACCTTGCCACAGGAGCCAGGGGGACTGGGACCTTTGGTCCAGGGCACCTCATCTTGGCAGCCTGAGGTTGGCCAAGTCTGGGATCATGTGCTCCCAGCAATCTCTCCTTGGAGTTTCTGGCCACCCTGGCCATGGAGTCATGCTAGTTGCCCCTTTAGACAGATGAAAACTGGTTCAGGGGCCGGCAGTTACCCAGGAGCCATGCAGTTCTTGAACGGCCCCTCCAAAACCTGTGTGTACTGTTCCCTTGACGGTGGCGCATCACCCAGACAGCCCTCCCCAGGACAGGGCCTGAGGCACCTGCAGAGCTGGGTGTCAGGGAGCCAGCCCATGGGGTTGTATGGAGGCTGGAGGCGTTGAATGTTTCAAGGTCAGTGAACTGGCCTGGTCTCTGAGTCCTAGCAGCATCCTAGTTCAGAGTCCCCTGTGGCAGGTCCAGGGGCCAGGCCATGCCCTCAGGCCATGAGTTACACCCTTGCTAATTGAGGCAGATACACCTTGTTTAATGGGTCAGCTTCAGAATTAAGGGGTTACTCCTTGGGGCCCTTGGTTAGTCATGTGGCCAAGTATTAACTTGCGAGGGTGGGTAGGGGCAGGAGTTCTGGTGACCATGGTCCTAAAGGTAACTGTGCCCTTCCAACCCATCAGGCTTCAAGGATAGGCTCCCAAGGGCTGAGACTGGCTCCTGGTGGCCCAGTTCCAAACCCACTGGCCATTCAGGGAATGGGGTGAGGATGCCCCAGGTTGGTCAGTGTGCATTTCCACAAATGTCTGCTTGTTTGAGGCCCTGGGTGCTCCTTCACATCAGTTCCCTGTCCCCAGCATGCCATGGCCATGGCTTTCCACTTGTCAGCCTCTTTGGAGTGCTTTTCAAAAAAGCTTTGGGAGGTTTAGGGAAAAACCGTTTAGAGATCAACTCAGCTGCAGCAGATGTCCTTCCTTGAGGGAGAGACTAGGCTGTGGTTTGTCTGCCCTCCATGCTTCAGCAAGGGCTCAACGGGCTGAAGGATGCACTCCCAAGGTGGTTCAGAGGGCAGTGGTGGCCTCCCTGGTGTGGGTTGGTTTCCCACCGTGTGGAGGCTCTTTATGTGGATACTGACCTGCCCCCCCCCCCCACACACACACACTAGAAGCCACCAGGCTTCCTTCATGCCAGAGTGATGCCAAGTTACTTCTACCACATCTATTGTGGTAAAGCAAGACCCAGAGCCAGTCCCAAGTCAAGACAGGAAGTAATACACAGGGTCAGACCACCGGGATGTGGCCCAGTGGAGGCCACCACAGACTGGGCATCCTCAGATCTGAACCCTGGGGGCAGTCTGGAAGGAACCCAGCTCTCCTGGTCTCCAGAATCATAGACACTATCACTTGGGTATGGCAGGAGCCCCCCAAAGGGGCTTCCAACCTGGGCTGCCAGGACTGGAAGTCAGCCAAACAGTGAGGGTCAGAGGCCAACCTTGATCTTCCCATCCTGTCCCCACAGGGCTGAGGCCTAGTGACATAGACCAGGAGTGATTCTACCCCCAGGGGGTATTGGACACTATCTGGAGACACTTTTGGTTGTCACAGTTTGGAGGAGGGAGCTAGCTGAATCTAGTGGGTAGAGGCTGCTGACACTGCTCAACATCCTACAACACCCCTGATGGCCCCCACCACAAAGAATGATCTGGCCCCAAATAGCAACAGGGCCAGGACATGGAAACTTGCTCTCAGAAACACAGGTGCCAAGGGGCTGTTTCTCTAATGGAACTGGCCTGATGACAGACGGAGGGACAAAGGTGCATGTGGGCTTTGGCTTTTATTGAGATTAGACCAGCAGGCTCCCCAGTCTCTTTGGGAGCCCCTCTCTCCACTCAGCCCGGCCTCCCAGGTACAAGTGGTTTACTTGAGTTGGAGCAGGCTGCAAGGGCATGCCCAGGCTTCTATTTTTTTCTGTCCCTCCCTCAGGACCTCCTCTTCCTCCCCTCGAGTTTTCCCAAGGTTGGCCCAGGCTCTGGTGCTGGGCATCTGCAGGTGTCTCCATCTGGAGGGGGCTAGTGGTGGGGCTGAGCCCTTCCTCTCTGGACCTGCCTCCTCCGCCACCTCCTGGGTCATCTTTCCCCTCCTGTCCTGAGCTGTGAAAACCGCTCGGATCCCTACGGCCTCTCCAGAGCCCCAGAGCAGATTCTCTTGCACAGTGGACAGGTGGGCTCCTCTGAGGCCTCCCAGGATCTCTTGGGCCGGAACCCCAAGCCTTCATGGGTACCAGGCTGGGAGGGGGCACCCTTGGCTGGATCCATGCTGGTACTGGATGCTGAGGAAAGGGGAGGGAGGAGTTACTTGGAAGGCCCAAGGGGAGGCTGCCAGCCTATCTTATCCTATGATGCCCCCTCTAGAACCTGACATCCTTTAAAACAGGAGTGGAAGGGGTGGGGGTGGAGGGTCTCTTTAAAGATAATCCACGAGGGAGGGAGGAGGAAGAGGGAAACTCGGTTCAAGTTCTTCATCTGACCCAAACCCTTCATTTTACTAATGGGGAAAATGAGGCCCAGCCAGAAGTGGGGGAGCTTGTCAGTTGCAGAGATGGCACAGAAACCCTGAGGCTTGGGAGTGGGGCAGGGCCCATCTGCATCCAACTGAGTCTCCAACCCACCCCTTCCCTGGGTCTCTCCCTCCTGCATCACCTAGACGGGTGCTCACCTGTATTTCCCAGGCTGTCCCTGGGCAGTTGAGCTTTCAGAAGGGCTGAACGGTGGCTGTTACCTGGGTTCAGAGTCCCCTGTGGCAGGTCCAGGGGCCAGGCCATGCCCTCAGGCCATGGGAGGCAGCCCCCAGCCATGAGCCGGCCCAGCCAGTGACTCTCACACTGGCCAGCAGGCTGCATGTGGCCTGGTAGGTAGAGTGCCAGGCCCCGGAGATGGCGCAGCCGGAAGTTCTTGGGCTTGCTTCCCTGGGCACTGGGACACTGCTGCTGCTGGGCCCCCAGCCCTCCTTCGTAGATGTTGGATGGTGTGTCGGGGTGACTGGGGAGTCCTTGGGCCCAGCTCACGGAATCTGTGGAGGGGAAAGCAGGAGGGTGGTGTCCAGCAGGCCACAGCAGCCATGATGGGAGGACAACACATCACATGCTCATGTGATGGGCTCCATGTCAGCCTGCCAAACCTCAGCTTACCTGTCTGTCAAATGGACTAAAATCCTTGCCTCCAGCCTCCCCTGACCCAAGGTATTAATCTTCTCTCCTCTCCCAGCCAACAGGGAGGTCTGAGAAGCCTTAGCCTTGGCACCAAATTCTCTTTCAGGTCTTCAAGTCCTCCTGCCACCTTCCCCCTTTTTTTGTTAATCCTCACCTGAGGATATTTTTTTCCATTGATTTTTTGAGAGAGTGGAAGGAAGGGAGGAGAGGGGAGGGAAGTGGGAAAGAGAGAGAGATGTGAATGAGACACATTGGTTGCCTCCCACAGGCGACCCAACTGGACTGGCGATTGAACCTGCAACCCAGGTACGTACCCGTGACCGGAAATCGAACCCATGAGCCTTCAGTGTATGGGCTCTAACCACTGACCATACTAGACCCATTTCTCCCCCTAACCTAGATCACTGTGGTATAGAAATTTCACAGTGGGTTCAGAATCACACAGTCCAGGTCACACGTCCTGGACCAGTGGCCATTCCTCTCTCCCAAGTATACATGTCCCTGGTGGCTTTGGGCCCACGTCAGGACAGTAGTACATCTCTCTTCCTGCCATTCTTTCCCATAGCCCCACACCTTCTCTTATGTGCAGCTCAGAGAACGCACAGACCAAGGCTTCCATTGAGGGCCAGTTTGGTGGGGGAGGAGTGGCCCAGCCTCCTGTGCAGCAGGGCTCTGTTCTCCCCTGCCTAGGGGGTGGGTCTACAGGTTTCCCTTAGCAACCGGCTGTGTGATGTCACAGGGAAGCCTTCCTGGACCCCCTGAGTTAGAGGTAGGATTATGGCCTGGACAGAGACAAGGTGGGAGGAGAGCAAGGGAACGGGGCAGAACCTGAGGGGAGGTTCCTGGTCCCTCTGGCTTGGGACAGGCCATACAAAACAGACTCAGCTCTTGCAGGCTGAGGAGTCACTTCCAGAGGTGACCTCATGGGAATCTCAGTTTCCGCATCTGTGGTTGGAAAATGAGGTTTAGGGGTACAGACTTAGTGAAACCTGGGTCAGTGCTTTGAGCACGCTGATAAGGTGGTTCTGAGTGGGTAAGTCACAAGTTGGTTTGGGTTTTTTTTAGTCACAACTTTTTAAACTATTTCCCCATAAGTAAAGTAAGGGTATTGTGTGGCTCATACCAAATGTGAAGAAATATTGAGGAGGAACTACAGCTCTTATATACTACTGGTGGGAATGTAAAATGGCACCACCACTTTGGGAAACAATTTCTTAAAAAGTTAAAACTTTCAAATAAAAGGCATCCAAATTGGAAATGAAAAAGTACAACTTTCATTATTTGCAGATGCCATAACTACATATATAGAGAAATGCTATTAGAAATGGTAAATAAATTCAATAAAATAGTAGAGTACAAAATTAATATTCAGAAATCAGTTGCATTTTTGTATACTAATAATGAACTATTAGAGAAATTAAGGAAACAATACCATTTACAATTGCATCAAAAAAACAAAATACTTAGGAACAAATTTAACATATGAGGTAAAAAAAGCTGTACTTGAAAAATTGAAGAAGATACAAATAAATGGAAGTATATACATGGACAGGAAGAACTTAACATCATTAAAATGTCCTTATTTCCCAGATCTATGGTTTCAAAGCAATCCCTATCAAAACACTAGGGCATTTCTCACAGAACTAGACAATCCTCAACTTGATGTGGAACCACAAAAGACCCCAAACAGCCAAAGCAACCTTAAGAAGGACAAAGTTGGGCTGTGCTCTTTCTCTGGAGCACTCCCATGCTTTCCCCCTTCTTATTTCCCCAGGCATGTTACCTTTGCCTTTCTTCTAAGTTATAAAGGCCCTTTTTTTGACTCTATAACTTGTTTCCTGAGACCATGCAGCCTAGCTGGCTCACTTTTTCTACCTCTGTGACCTTCTAAATAAACTTTTGCTTGTAAAAGGAAAAAAAAAACATCCAAAGTTGGAGGAGGTATTGTGCTACTTGATCTCAAACTATACTACAAGACTATAGTAATCAAAACATTGTACTGGCATAAAAACAGATACATAGATCAGAATAAAGAGCCCAGAAATAAACCCACATCTATATGGTCAATTAATCTATGACAAAGGATGCAAGAATATACAATGAGGTAGACAGTCTCTTCAATAAATGGTGTTGGGGAAACTGGACAGGTATATGCCAAAAAAATACACCTAGACCACTTTCTTACACTATATACAAGAATAAACTCAAAATTGATTAAGTGTAAGACTTGAAACCATAAAACTAGAAGAAAACAGGCAGTAAACTCTGACATTGCTCTTAGCAAACATTTTTTGGCTATGTCTCAATCGGGCAAGGGAAACAATCCAACAAAAAAATAAATGGGTCTACATCAAACTAAAAAGTTTTTGCGCAGCAAAGGAAACCATCAACAAAAAGACAACCTACTGAGTGGGAGAAAATATTCACCAATGATACATCGATAAGGTGTTAATATCCAGATATAAGGAACTCATACAATTTAGCACCAAAAAGATTTAAAAATGGGCAGAGGACCTGAATAGGCATTTCTCCAAAGAGGATATACACATGGCTAATCCTATATAATAAAAGCCTAATATGCTAAGTGTCTGGTCGTTTGGTCGTCTGTTCAATCAAAGCGTAATATACTAGTGATATGCTAAGGCCACTCAACTGCTCGCTATGACATACACTGACCACCAGGGGGCAGACAGTCGACTGGTCGATCAGTCGCTGTTATGTGCACTGACCACCAGGGGGCAGATGCTCCGACCGGTATGTTAGCTTGCTGCTGGGGTCCAACCTATAGGGACTGAGGGAGCCAGACTGGACAAGCCTTGTAGCCCTCCTGTGGTCCCTTCCCACCTGGCCAACCTCCCTCCTCCCTCCCCGGCCTGATCATGCACTGGTGGGTTCCCTCGGCCTGGCCTATGCCCTCTTGCAATCCTGCCTGAGGGATCCCCCACCCCTGAGTGCACGAATTTCATGCACCAGGCCTCTTGTAAGATATAAGAAAAGATGCTCAATGTCACTAATCATAAGGGAAATACAAATTTAAACTACAATGGGACATCACCTCACAATTGTCAAAATGGTTGTTATTAAATCAGCAAGTGTTGGTGAAGATTTGGGGAAAAGGGAACCTTTTTGCACTGTTAGCAGCATTACAAATTGGTGCAGCTACTATGGAAATAGTATGAAGTCCTCAAAAATTAAAAATAGAGCTATCATATAACCCAGCAATTTCACTTCTGAGTATTTATCCAAAGACATCCAAAATACTAATTTGAAATGATATATGCATTCCTATGTTCATTGCAGCATTATTCACAATAACCAAAATATGGAGGCAACCTAACTGTCCAGTGATAGAAGACTGGATAAAGATGTTGTATATATGGGGAATATTACTAGGCCATAAAAAGAATGAAATCTTACCATTTATGAAAACATGGATGGACTCAGGGTATTATGCTAAGTGAAGTAAGTCAGACAGACAAAGACAAATGCCATGTGACTTCACTTATATGTGGAACCTAAAAAACAAAGTAAATGAACTAATAAGACAGAAACTCATAGATACAGAGAACAAACTGATAGTTGCCAGATGGGGAGTTGAGGGACATGGTTAAAAAAAAAAGCGAAGGGCTTAAGTACAACTTGGCAGTTAACAAAATAGTCATTGGAGCCCTGGCCGGGTGGCTCAATTATACCAAGGTTGCGGGTTTGATCCCTGGTCAGGGCACATACAAGAATCAACCAATGAATGCATAAATAAGTGGAACAACAAACAGGTGTTTCTCTCTCTCATTAGTTTTTAAAAAGACATGGAGATGTAACATAAGCCTAGGGAGTATAGTCAATAATATTGTAGTATCTATTAGTGGTGTCAGGTGGGTACTAGACTTATTGGGGGGATCACTTATAAGTTATATAAATGTCTTATCATTATGCTATACACCTAAAACATATAATATTGAATGTCAACTGTAACTGAAAAATTAATGTTAAACTTTCAATTCTATCAATTCACAGATAACATGATCTTACATAGAGAAATTAGTTCACACTCAAAATTGTTTGAGACAGCGAAACTATTAGAGCTAATAATAAAGTTCAGCAAGTTGCTAGATATAAGATCAACACAAAAATTGTATTTCTAGCCCTAACCGGTTTGGCTCAGCAGATAGAGCGTCGGCCTGGGGACTGAAGGGTCCCAGGTTCGATTCCAGTCAGGGGCATGTACCCGGGTTGTGGGCACATCCCCAGTGGGGGGCATGTGGGGGGCAGCTGAATCTATGTTTCTTTCTCATCGATGTTTCTGACTATGTCTCTCCCTCTCCCTTCCTCTCTGTAAAAAATCAATAAAATATATTTTTTAAAAAATTGTATTTCTATACACTGGCAAAAGAACAAAAAGAATAAAACAGGAATAAATTTCACCAAGGAATTGCAAGATAACACTGAAAACTACAAAACATTGCTGAAAAAAATAAAGACGACTTATAAAATGGAAAAACATTCCTGTTCATGAGTTGAAGGCTTAATATTGTTAAGACAGCAGTACTCCCTAAAGTGATCTACAGATACTTTGAAAATCCCAATGGTCTTTTATGCAGAAACAGGAAAGCTGATTCTAAAATTCATGTGGAATTACAAAGGAGCCCAAATAACCAAAAACAATTTTTAAAAAGAATTTAAATTTAACCAAAATAGTATGGAACCAGCATAAGGATAGACATCACAACCAATGGAACAGATTAGAGAGACCAGAAATAAAGCCATATATTTATGGTCAATTGATTTTCAACAAGAGTGCCAAGACTATTCAAAGCGGTAAAGAATTTCTTCAACAAATGGTGCTGGGGCAATGGATAGCCACATGCAAGAGAATGAAGTTTGACCCCTATCTCACACCATGTACAAAAATTAACTCAAAATGCATCAAAGACCTAAATGTAAGAGCTAAAAACTCTTAGAAGAAAACATAAATCTTCATGAGCTTGGTTTTGGCAATGAACTGTTAGATATGACAAAACTACAAGTGAAAGAAAAAATAAATTTGACTTCATAAAAATTTAAAATGTTGCTGCTGCAAAAGGCACTCTCAAGAAGTAAAAGCTTAGAGAATGTGATAAAATATTTGCAAATCATATATCTGATAAGTGTGTAGTATGCAGAATATATAAAGAAGTCTTATAATTCAACAACAAAAAGACAACCCAATTTTAAAATGGTTAAGTTGAATAGATATTTCTCCAAAGAAGATATACAAACTGTCAACAAGCACAAGAAAAGATGCTCAACAGTATTAGTCATTAGGGAAATACAATTTAAAACACAATATGATAACTACTTACCCATGAGGATGGATATAATTAAATTTAAATAAATTGAGAAATGTTAATGAGGATGTGAAGAAACTGGAATCCTCCTACACTACTAGTGGGAATGTAAAATGGTGGAGGCAATAACAAAAGTTCAAGTTGGTACACATCCTTTTAAGCTGTTCCCACTGTCAGGCTTTTGTTTGTTATTTTAGCCATACAAATAACTATCTAGTGATATGTTATTGTGGTTTAATATGTGCTTTCCTAAGGACTAATAACCTTGAGCATCTTTTGCTTTGCTTATTATTTGCCATATATCTTCTTCTTTGAAGTATCTGTTTACATTTTTTGTCCACTTCCTAATTGGATTGAGTTTTGAGAGTTCGTTATGTATTCTGGATAAAACTTTTCATCAGATGGTTTGTGAATATTTTCTTCTAAACTGTGGATTATCCTTCCATTTTCTTTGTTTTGTTAATATTCACCGGAGGGTATTTTCCCATTGATTTTGAGAGAGAGTGGAAGGAAGGGGAGAGGGGGGAGAGAAAGAGGAGAAAAACATCAATGTGAGAGAGACATGTTGGATTGGTTGCCTCCCGCACGCACCCGGGCTAGGGATCGAGCCTGCAACCAAGGCAGGTACCCAGGACTGGAATTGTACCCTTGACTGGAATTGAACCTGGGACACTTCAGTCCTCAGGCTGATGCTCTATTCACAGAGCCAAACCGACGAGGGCTAGTCTTTCATTTTCTTAAAGTACCTTACCCAAATGGCGAGGCTCAGTGGTTGACCATCCACCTATGAACCAGCAGGTCAGGGCTGGATTCCTTCCGGTCAGGGCACATGCCCAGGTTGCCAGCCCTGTCCCCATTGAGGAGGGGGAGGGTGTGTGTGTGTGTGCAGGAGGCAGCCAATCAACGATTCTCTCATCAATGTTTCTCTCTCCCCCCTTCTCCCTTCCTCTCTGAAATCAATTCAAATACATTTTTAGAAAAGTGTCTTGAAGAGAAGTTTTCACTTTATATGAAGTCCAGTTTACTTAAAAATTTTTTGGTGTATCTAAGAAATCCTGCTTAATCCAGTCATAACGCGTTCCCGTAAGTTATCTTCTAGAAAAGTTAGTTTTAGGGTTGTTTTTTTTTAACTTAAAAATACTTTATTGAGCACTTGATATAAACAGTAGTTTCTTGTAAGGTGACAGTTTTAGGTTTTATATTTAGGTAATAGTGAAGGTTCATTTACTTGGATTTCCAATTGTTAATTGTTTCAAACCATTCATTGAAAGACTATTCTTTCTCCACTGAAGTGCTCCGTCACCTTTGTCGTACTGACCACATGTGTGTGGATGTATTTGGGGGCCCTCTTTACCGTCTGCGCATTTATGTGTCCGTTACTTCGCCAACACCGATACGGGGGCGGAGGGCATCGCAGCGGTTGGCAGTCCCTCCTCCTCGCCCATCCTTCCAAGCTCAGCTCACTGCATCTCCCAGCTCTTCTTTTCACCTGTCCTCCTCCAGGGCAGCCGAGGGAGGGCTCCCAGCTGAGGCCCCAGCTGATCTGGCCGGGAGTTGGGGCGCGGTCCTCACCCTGGAGCCTTCCCGTCCCCCAACAAGGCGCACAAACGCTCCCCGACTGAGGGCACGGTTACCAGGACAACCGCCGGCGCGCGAGGACCCAGACCGATTTCCGGCCTGTTGTGAGAACAAGCCCGGTGCGCTTGCGCAGTTCCAGGCCTGACACGCTCTCGCGATACCGCGGTCAGCCCCGGCTTACCATCTGAAGTTCGGGGTTATGGCCTTTAAAGCTGCGGTCTGTGTTCGGGGGCTTCGGACGCGGCCACAGCTAGCAGTTTACACATGCCAGAGAGAAGTGTGCTGGGCAAGGGATACCCAGCTTCGTGACAGTATCGTGCGTTCTTTCAAGAGGAGTTGAGGAAATGGGAAGCAGTATGTAGAACGCCTAGCATAGTTTCAGATACATAATAGGTGCTTAGGACGTGTCAGCCAGTGTCAAATGTCTCTCTGCAAGATGCTGAAGGGGGATAAAAGGGGCTCGGGTGCCCTGCGGTTTGAAGCTCCCCGTCGGGCGGTAATCCCGCACCTCCGTCCTGGATTCCGAGGCATCCACAAGCCCGCCTCCCCTTCTCTTGCGCGTGCGCGCGCAGCCCGACCGCTTCACCTTCCGTTTTGTTTGGGCCCTGCTGCGCGCCGTAGAGAGCTCCGTGCGTTGCCATAGAGACACCTGAGCACTGAGTTGGGGGCGTCTGAGACTCCGGGCTAGCGGGGACCAGAGCGCCATGTCCTTCCGCGACCTCCGCAGTAAGGCAACCCTGCCCCTTGTGACCTGCGGGCCTCCCAAGAGACGGGGGCTCCGGCCGCCGGGTTCTCTCCTCCAGGCCCCGCCGAGCCCCTCTGGCCTCTGCGGTCCTGGCCTTTGCCGCCCCCCGCGTCCCGGTCAGAGCGCCCCGGCCCTGGCTCAGCACTTTCTGCGGTGATGGGAAGTTTTGTATCTGCCACTGGCTGTGGCTCGTGCGGCTGAGGAACTGAAGTTTTACTTTTACCTGATTTTAATTGATTTGTATAGCCACGTCGCTACCGTGTTGGAAAACGCAGAAACCGTTTTGGGGCCGAGTTAGGTTAGAGCCTTGAGAAACGAACAATAAAACCGAGGGGGGGGGGGGGGGCGGACGGGACGGCTGAATAATAATTGCGGCTGGCATTTTTTTTTGAATCTTTACAATCTTCCAGGTGGTAAATGTTCTCTGTGTGTGTGTGCATCATTTTATTTACTCTTGTAAACACGCTTCTGTATTTAGAAATGAGGAAACGGGCACAGAGAGGACTCACCCAGGTGGTAAGAGTTGGCGCTGGAGTTTGAATTCAGGCTGTCTAACCTCCAAAGCCTTCATACTTTCTAAAGGGGCGGATGAGGGAAACGGAACCCCAATGCCTTTGCTAGGAGGCTGGGGACGTGGAAGAATGGGTATGAGAATTAGTTACTATTCCTTGGGGGGACGCCTGTTACATTTTACATTCACTCTCTTATTTTAGTCCTCACTTGAACAGTGAGGTAGGTGGTATAATACCTGGATTTGAGGCACAGATAGGTAAAGTATCTTGCTTTAGGCCACACAACCAGAACTGGCGGAACCAAGGATGGGGACATAGTGCTGTGTGAATCAAATCTTTTGCCTTTTGCCCTGGCAGGGTGGCTCAGGTGGTTGAAGCATCGTCCGGTGCACCGAAGGGTTGTGGGTTCGATTCCAGGTCGGGGCACATACCTAGTTTGTGGGTTCGAGCCCGGTTGAGGTGTGTACGGGAGGCAGCCAATCCATGTTTTTCTCTCTACTTCTCCTTTCTTCTCTCTCTAAAACCAGTAAAGAATATTCTCAAGTGAAGATAAAAAAAAATCTCTTGCCTTTTATACAGTGTCATTTTCTGAATCAGAAGCAGTTCAGCTGACTGGCTCCACTTCCATAGATGTAACAGGGATTGCCAGTTTGCTGTGATCTGTAAGGCCAGTTTTATAACTAAATTGCTGGTACCCAGAATTTCACCAATAAAGATGACTCCTTTCAGTTATGAGTTGCTCTTTTTCTACAATGTAAATATTCAGGAAGAGGCATCATCACATTTTGTTAATACACCTACTAGCACCATAGCGTGAATTATTCCCTCTGGGATTTGAAGGTTCTTGGTGACTGTATGTTGTAGGGACAAGTTTCTCTTTCCTGGTAGTTTAGAGAGAGCACTCTGCTAGGGGACACTGAATGGAGTTGTATTGGGAAGAGTGTACAAGAAGGGGATTTCTGAACATTTTGACATTAAATGAATGCTATACAATTGTGCAATATATGGTAAGAATCCTACTCATTTTGAAAATGCTGCATAATGAACAGAACTTAACTACTGTTTAGTGGGAAGAAGTATTTAGGCAATGCCTGACTGTGTGACGGGAAGACTGCTGCTTTCTTTTCCATCACTCTATTCAGATTTCCCAAAAAACAGTGACAGAGGCCCTCAGTGCCTTCTCTTTTGCGATCTGGTGAAATCCAGCCTAACCTCTGATGCCTGGGTAGCTTCTTTGTGACTTATTGGGACATTTTGAACATCTACCTTCAAGAAGAGCGAGGACAGACATAAATAGCCTTGAGCACACTGAATGTAGATCTTGGCATATTGTTGGAACTCAAAACCTGTTTGTTGTGTTCATTTCCAAGTTCTGCCTAAAGCTTAGTGACAGCCACCTCCAGTATCAAAAGTGTTAGTATTACTGTTTTTTAATGTTTTATAATAAATCTAGTGCTCTATAGTTCAACTATTCTTTTTAAGATTTTTCTAGATACAGTGCAACTAATCTTTAAAATTTGTTAGTAAGTTCCTATGTGCTCACTAAAAAAAGAAAAAAAAAAAGACAACTCAGAAACATGAACTTTACCCTACCACCATCACCACCCCCATAATATCACTGTTAACATTTTAAAATATTTTTATTTATGACATTTTATAAGATCAGGTATTTCTCATTTTTAGTGGTAAGAAGATATTCAAGAGAGAGATCAAAGAGAAATTAAATTCATACCCAATCTCTAAACCCCATGTTAATGTACAGCTTCCACTTCTCCCAGGGCACTTTAAATGTTTTTCAGGAAGCAGATTATTTTAAGTTTTAACTACTTTTTTATTTCCCTCTTAGTTGATAAATAGTCCCTAAAACTGTCAATAGACTGGGGATAAGGAGGGGAGGCAGAGAAAGTAAGTTAATTAGTTGTTGTTTGACAATGAATTGACTGAATTGTATTTTACCGTGGACAGATTTTACAGAGATGATGAGAGCCTTGGGATACCCTCGACATATTTCTATGGAAAATTTCCGCACACCAAATTTTGGACTTGTATCTGAAGTTCTTCTCTGGCTTGTGAAAAGGTTAGAATTGCACTTTATTGTAGTCTAAGAATCAATACTCAATTTTATTTATTAGCCACCTAGAAACAGGTTATTGTTGTGAAGCTAAAGGAAGAGTTCAATAAAATTTGAGTTTGACAGATTTAGGTGTAACCTATTAAAAATCAGTTGAGTTTTAAAGAGTGTGGGAATCGAAATATACCAGTGAGTGGAAAAGGGAGACTATTTCTCAGTAGGAAGCAGACAATGGGGCCCAAATTCTTCTCCATTCCCTCACGTTCATCAGGGAGTGACAAGGTACCTCCATATACAATCTTAATGAGTACACTGGATTAGAAATAATTTCAATTTCAATTTGTGTGTAAAACCCAGAATCTAACATTTGCAGTTGGCAAACTTTTTGTTAAGAAGATAGAAAAGAAGAGAAAAGAAAAGAAAAGAAAAAAAGACCTTAGGTGTTGCAGGCAACACAAGATCTCTCTTGCATATTCTAGCTTGTGTTTTGTTTTTTATAATCCTTGAAAAATGTAAAAACGCTTCTTACTGGCAAGCTGTACAGAAAGACACTAAGGGCTGCAGCTGTTGACTCCTGGTGGGTCATTAACAACATGAAGAAAGTAACTCCAACAACTCTGCTTCTTCTCGGAGCTAACTAGTTAGCTCTGGGTCAAGGGCTGTCAGCCCAAGTAGTCGTTCTGATTATTTTAATTAAACTTTGAGGTCTGAGAAATTTAATTTTGTAAGCTGAACCCCAAATTTGATTTTTGAAATTAGTTAAACCTATTCTTGGGGTGAGGATTTGCTCCCTTGGAAGTTTGGTATTTTGTGTTGCTTTTGAAGTCTTTCTTAATCTGATTGACTTCGCAGGGGACTCAGAGAGCTTCTCGTTACAGATCCACTGACCTCTCAGTTGCCCCCTTTCTCTTTCGTGGACTTTATAGTAATTAACTGATGTCTTCTCTCTGTGTCTGTCTGGTTCTCTCTCATAGGTATGAACCTCAGACTGACATACTTTCTGATGTTGAGACGGAACAAGACCGAGTTTTCTTTATTAAGGCAGTTGCCCAGTTCATGGTTAGTTCCTGCTTACTTGATGGAGTTGTAAAATTAAATATGTTAGAAAGAAGTCCTAGTTTGGGCTTCTTTCAAGTTTCTAAACCTATTCTATTACCAGGTTTCTTTAGAGCCATTTTTCCAGCAAAGTATTTCGTTTTAATTCAGTATTTGTTAAGATTTTAATTTATTTTTGAATAGGTTATAATATTTCATGGTTCAGAAAAAGAATTTTTGTAGATTATGAAATGATAGAGTAAAGTGGCTTCTTATCCTCTATCCTGTCTGCCTTCTGCCCAGTTCCATTCCCAGTAACCACTATTAATATTTTCCAGAGTTTATGCATATGTAAGCAAATAGGATATAAATTCTTTTTCTTCTTTTTCCACAAATGGTGGCATACTGTTTAGAATCTTGCTTCTTCAGTTAATGGTACATTTTGGAGAACTTTCCAAATACATATAGAACTTCTTATTCTCTCTTAACACCCGAATAGTACCGCTTGCCTGGATAAATCACAATTTATATAATTTATATGGATAGGCATTTAGGTGTATATAACCTTTGCTCTTTGAAGCAATGCTGTAACAGATAACCTATATGCATCTCATTTCCTTTGTTACTGTATCCATCTCTAAGATAAATTCTCAGGATTGGAATTGCTAGGTCAAAAGATATGTGTATTTGTAATTGTGTTGTCTTTTACCAAATTGCTCTCCATCAAGATTAGATCAGTAAAAAAAAAAAGAAAGGGTTGTATCAGTTTACATACCCACTTGCAATGTATGAGTCACTTGAAAGTTTGATTCTTAATATAATCAGGTCATATCCCAATTGTTGGCAGAGACATTTTCATTTTACCTACATGACATTTGGTTTAGATTCTATTCTACATGGAAAAGGCGTTTGTTTGTTTGTTTGTTTGTTTTGGTCTGAAAATAGGCCACAAAAGCACATATAAAACTCAATACTAAGAAGCTTTATCAAGCAGACGGGTATGCAGTGAAAGAACTATTGAAGATCACCTCTGTCCTTTATAATGCTATGAAGACCAAAGGGATGGAGAACTCTAAAATAGGAGAGGACGATATCAGCAAATTCAAGTTTGATCTTGGCTCAAAGGTAAGGACAATGAACGGCTTGTAGTGAGGGATGAAATGTGTATTTCTCACTCTGAAATGGAACATGTCATATACTCATAGATCTACTTCTTTCCTTATCCCTTGAATGAGGGCAGTTTGTCAATTTTGTACTAATCAGCATTTGAATAAAAGCAGAAGTCATAATAAATTAATCCAACTATTTACTGAAAGCCTGTTGCTAGTAAGGTAGAAGTAGAGCTAGCAGGAACAGACTCCTAGAGGACTAAGGAAATAGGAAGAAAGTTAGCTGTGAATGAATATTGAGAGTCGTTGCTGATGGTTTGATAATCAAAAAGAGACACCGGGGCCCTAGCTGATTTGGCTCAGTGGATAGAGCGTTGGCCTGCTGACTGGAGGGTCCTGGGTTCGATTCCAGTCAAGGGCACATGCTCAGGTTTGATCCCCAGTAGGAGATCAGTGTAGGAGGCAGCCAATCAATGATTCTCTCTCATCATTGATGTTTCTATCTTGTTATCTCCCTCTCCCTTCCTCTCTGAAATCAATAAAAATATATTTAAAAAAAAGAGACACTGGGGATTTGTTGTTTGGGAGAGGGAGCATGAGCAGAGCAGGGAGATGTTTGTTTGGACTCTGAAAATTTAACATATTCGAGGAAGAAGAGGTGACATGCAAATCCTAAGAAAGAAGTTGCGCACAGGGCTAGATGCTAAATCATCATCATCATCATCTTCATAGTAATGGCTGCCACCCTTGTGGGAGCTGGGTACTATTGCATGTTAACTCATTTGAACCTCGCAGCAGTCATGTGAAGTGCAGTCTAAAGGCAGAGAATGAGGGGACAAAAGGGTTAACAGAAGGCATCAGGATGCTGCACTAGGAAATGTGTCCCTCAGATTGCCCCTCCCTGTCTCTCACTACTGTAGGGGTCCCCTATGGTGACCTAGTCCAAATAGGAAGCAGGTCAATTGCATTTGACTTGACATTTGGGTTTTTAAGGAGACCTGAAGTTGCTCTAATTTGTACTTAGATCAGTGTTTCCTAAACTGGTATCCTCCAAGCTCTCTTCCACAGGATGTAAGGATATGTCTTGTGGAAAATGTGTTCTGTAGTCAAGTATTCTGACTGGAGGTAGGGATTGGTATTAGACTGTTTTTTTCTGAATGCCTATTAAAAACCTGTCACTGAGGTTCCTGTTTTTTATATTTTCCTTCCAGATTGCAGATTTGAAAGCTGCCAGGCAGCTTGCTTCTGAAATCACCTACAAAGGAGCATCCCTGTATGACTTGCTGGGCAAGGAGGTAGAGTTGAGGGTAAGCAGTGCTTAGATAACTTAATTACTTTCTCAGCTAAGCAGATTTTCAAGGTTTTCTTTTCTAATTCTTTTTGCCCCTGTTCTTCTGATTTTATTAAACTGTACCTGATTAAATGATATAATGTGTGAGAAAGTAATATATAGTGTTTGTTGCTATTCCTGCTTCAGTGAGCACTGGTCTATTTTTTAATAACTCTGACTTCTGGTTCAGGAATGGCAAATACTAGTATGTGGCATGTTGCTGAGACTTTTCTCCTTTGTCCCTGTCATACGTTATTGATCATGGTGCTTTTGTTGGTGAACGCAGCCTCAACATTCTTCTCTACAAAATCCTCTTCTGAGCCATGATGGTTCCCAAACCTTGCTGCCCAATGCAATCACCCAATGCAACTATGGATGCCTGGCTTTCCATTTTGATATCATTGGTATGAAATGTGACTTGGGCATTGGGGATTTTACAAGTCTTCTGTATGATTCTAACGCACAGCAATGTTTGGGAACCAGTAATCTAGGCAGTCACTACCAATCAGTTAAAGTTATGTTAACAGTTTAAGTTTACTTGCAATCCTATTCTAGCTAATGTCATTCAAGGAGTATGCTCCATCATGTTTAAGGAGCTATTTAAGAGTGTGGTTCTGGAGAACTTCCATAGAGCTCCTAAAGAGCTTTTAAATCACCTGATGTCCAGGTTGTCCCAGAAATCAATGAGTCAGAATGTCGGGGTGAGCACCAGGCATCAGGTTTGTAAAGATTTCCAGGTGATTCCAGAGTGCAGCAAAATTTGGGGCCCACTGGTTTAAGAAAAAATGGAATATTATTTAGTTTTACCTGTAAGGATTTATGGCACTTAAGGACACATGCTCTCATCTAATGTTTTTAAATTAAATACATTTAATTCATTCCATTCCCATCAGGTACGTCAGCCATGACCACTCTCTCACTTCCTTGCCTGTGTTCTGGCATTGCTGCTACAGTGTTATGGTATTTTTTCCTCTTGCTTTTCATTTCTGCCCAGGAGAGAACACTAGAGTGGGAGACTTGGGTGCCAGGTCACCATCCCTGCTTTTGATATAGTGGCTGCCACCTGCTGAAGTGCAGTTGGCAGAACAAAACTTCCACTAATGTCTAATAGCTAATTTAGATAACTAATGAGGCAACTTCAGGCTTTTACTGTTTTCTGTTTATAGTGTACATGTCTATACATGTTCATAACAGGCCTAGAGACAAGAGCTGGTCACTTGCTATTTGTCAGTGGAATAGAGTGATGCGTTTATTGTGAGATTTTAGCACCTTTCCATAATGAATTGATGAAACAGTCAGTGGCTGAACTGTTGCCATGGAAGCCATGAGACCCTTCTCAAATTCTGTGTACAGTCATGATCTGAGGAAGATCCCCTAGCCAGTATTTGTTTTTCATACACTCAAACCACATTCACTGAGGAACAAAACCAATCACAGACAAGGCACTGAGCCTTGAGTAAATCTTAATCCCTTCTCTTGATAAGTTTTCTACCAGTGGGGAGATGAGGTGCACTGTGGAGTCAAAGAAGCACAAGACAGAGTGTGATAAAGTGATTCAGGAATCTCATAACTGCATGCCCATATCTCAGATGTTCCCAGTGTTGATTGGTCCATGATTAATGCTAGGGGCAGGGCAAAGGCCACTTTTCTCACTGGTTGCAGTTGTCAATGATAGTCAACTTAGAGGAACTTAATCATAAGAAAGATTGTAGACTTAAGACCAAGATGGCGGCATAGGTGAACACCTGAACTTGCTGCCTCACACACCACATCAAAACTCCAACTAAAAGACAAAACGGATATCATCTAGAACCACGGGAAGGCTGGCTGAGTGGAAGTTCGACAACTAGAGGGAAAGAGAAAAGCGCATCTAGACAGGTAGGAGGTGCAGAGGTGCAGAAGAGCGGAGGTATGGAGGCGCGTGAAACGGGCTGGCAACTGGGTACGCTGTGGTCTTTTTCAATCAGGAGGGTGATACAAACTCCCGACTGCTCTGAACTCCAGTTCCGGGCGAGACTCTGGGGACCCAGACTCATACGGAGAGAAACTGGACTGTGTGGCATCGGACTGGAACACGAGGCGGATTTCTCTCAGAGGTGCTCACAGCGTTCATTGTTCCTGCACGGGGCCGCGGGACACAGAGACCCAGGGACCTATCCGGGGCAGGGCCGATGGGCAACCATTGCTGTTTGCACCACCCTGTGATTCCCTGAGACCATGCCCCACTCAATTTACAACCCCACCCAAGCTGTGAGCAGAGGCTTTTGTGTATGAATGGCCTGGCCTTTTGCAACCTAACCTAACAAACTGCAGCTGGGTCAAAGAACCCCAGAGCTTCCAAAAGAAGGCCTAAGGCTCCTCAGCAGCCTGCATTGCTTCACAGCTGTGCCTCATCTGGGCACCTCCAAACCCCAAACAAAGAGGAGGAATCTGCAGATCTCTCTGTAGCTCCTGCTGGGTGGCCTCAGGCAGTGGCTGACTTTGCACCTCCTTGGAGATCCAAGAGCCAGTCTACCCAGTGGTCAAAGTGAGATCACACCAGATTATAACTCTTCAGATTCGTAAGAGATACACTCAGGGGGCAGACTCAGCACCAAAGCCCCACTGAAGCAAGTCCTGCCCCATAAGGGTATCTCCAGCACAGCAGTTCTCCCATTGTAGACACAACTGGTCCTCACAGCCAATTGACCTGGAGGTCAATTCCTCCCAGTGATACCAACAGCAATGAAGGCTTAACTACAACAAAACTATGCACACAGCCCACAAAGGGGTGCACCAAGAGCTTCCACCTCAGGTAACTGGGGAGACTGAGTCACTGGGCCCTATAGGACACCTAGCACACAAAGCTACTCTATCAACACAGGGAAGCAGCCAAAATGCAGAGACAAAGAAACAGGTCACAAATGACAGAAATGGAGGAAAGCAAACTACTGGATATAGAGTTCAAAACCATGGTTATAAGGTTACTCAAGAATCTTCTAGAAACCTCCGAGAAATTTAGTGAGACCCTCAAGGATATGAAAAAGGACCAATTAGAAATTAAGCAAACACTGACTGAAATAAAGAATAACATACAGAGATCCAACAGCAGACTAGAGGATCCCAAGAATCAAGTCAAAGATTTGAAATATGAAGAAGCAAAAAACATTCAACCAGAAAAGAAAAAAGAATCCAAAAATAAGATAATGTAAGGAGCCTCTGGGACAACTTAAAGCATACCAACATCCCAATTATGCGGGTGCCAGAAGAAGAGAGAGAGCAAGATATTGAAAACCTATTTGAAGAAATAATGACAGAAAACTTCCCCTACCTGGTGAAAGAAATAGACTTAGAAGTCCAAGAAGCACAGAGGACCCCAAACGAGGAACCCAAAGAGGACCACACCAAGACATCATAATTAAAATGTCAAGGGCAAAAGACAAAGAGAATATTAAAAGCAGCAAGAGAAAAACAGTCAGTTACCTACAAGGGAGTACCTACACAACTGTCAGCTAATTTCTCAACAGAAACTATGCAGGCCAGAAGGGAGTGGCAAGAAATATTCAAAGTGATGAATAGCAAGAACCTACAACCAAGATTACTCTACCCAGCAAAGCTATCATTTAGAATTGAAGGTCAGATAAAGAGCTTCACAGACAAGAAAAAGCTAAAGGAGTTCATCACCACCAAACCAGTACTATATGAAATGCTGAAGGGTATTCTTTAAGAAGAGGAAGAAGAAGAAAAAGGTAAAGATAAAAATTATGAACAACAGAGTGACAACAAATACATATCTATCAACAAGTCAATCTAAAAATCAAATGAATAAAAAATCGGATGAACAGAATAAACTGGTGAATATAATAGAATCAGGGGCATAGAAAGGGAGTGGACTGACAATTCTCGGGGGGAAGGGAGTGTGGGGGGTGCGGGAAGAGACTGGACAAAAATCCAACACCTATGGATGAGGACAGTGGGGGACGGGTAAGGGCATGGGGTGAGGTGGGAACCGGGTGGAGGGGAGCTATGGGGGGAAAAAAGAGGAACAACTGTAATAATCTGAACAATAAAGACTTATTTAAAAAAAAAGAAAGAGTGTAGAGGCTGGCAGGTGATTCAGACAGCGAGTTAAGCTGTACTTGGTTTGGGAGTCCCCTAAATAGAATGCAGGTAAAGAAGCAAATTTAGGAGAAATGAGGGATGGTAAGTTGCCCATGGTGCTATGGGGACCTGGGACCTGTAGCTGAAAAGGAGGCCTTGAGCACTGGAGAGAGGCCAGGTGGGCAGTAGAATTAGAGAAGACATTTGGAGAAGGTGATGGTTGAAATGTTTTTGCATCAGAGATCCACGTTTTAATTAAACTTTTAGGAACCAGTCTGTAAGCTGTTTCTAGATTTGGAAATTGGTTTTTAGAACTCCTCTTCTGAAAACATATGTAATTTTATTTCATTGTTTCCCATAGGAACTGAGAACAGAAGCAATTGCTAGACCTCTGGAAATAAACGAGACTGAAAAAGTGATGAGAATTGCAATAAAAGATATTTTGGTAAGATTACTTTGCTTTTATGTAATGTTTTTGTGCCTTGCCTTAAAAATATTGATTTCTGCCTTGGCCAGTGTGGCTCGGTGATAAAGATCAGCCCGTGCACTGAAGGGTTGTGGGTTCGATTTCTGGGTAAGGGTAGGTACCTGGGTTGCAGTTTTGATCTCCAGCCCCGGTTGGGAGGCAACCAATCGATGTGTCTCTGTCACATCAATGTTTTTCTCTCTCTCCCCCTCCTTCTCTTCCACTCTCTCTAAAAATCAATAGAAGAAATATCCTTGGGTGAGGATTAATTGATTTCTTGCCTCCATAAGACAGAACAAAAAGTTAGCCCTTGTTACAAAGAAGGATATGTTAGTAAGGAAATGAAAAATTTACAGAACATGCTAGAATATTTAGCTCACTTACTTCCCCCCCTTATTATAAATACAAACAACTCATGTTATTAAAAGTTTGTCAATTTTAATAGTTTAATAATACTATTAAATTTTTCAATTATTTTAATAAATAATGCCCTATTTTATGGGCACTTCATACTTTAACCAATTCCTCATTGCTGTGCCTTAAATAATTTCTAGATTTTCTTAATTCTATACAGTACTGTAATAAATAGCATGATCACTGATCAATTATTATTTGCTCATTCATTTGGAAGGCAGATAGTGGGGGGCATTCTAGACTCAGACTATTTTGGGTTTGAATCCCACCATGTGATCTTAGGGAAGTTATTTAACCTCTCTGTGCCTCACTTTCCTGATCTGTAAAATGGGGAGAATGGCCACATAGGGTCCTTTGAGCATTCATTAAAACTGTGTGTCATACACAGTCTCTGGCATAAAGTAGGTATTTAGTCATTATTAGGATTCATTTTATTCAGTAGACACAGGCAGGGATAGGCATAAAATAATTTGCTGAGAGTTGTACAGCATTCTCAGATTGATAGGTTTTTATAAGACCCTGTTATAGCCCAGCTGGCGTGGCTCAGTGGTTGAGCGTTGACCTATGAACCAGGAGATCACGGTTTGATTCCTGGTCAGGGTATATGCCTGGGTTGTGGGCTCGATCCCCATTGTGGGACGTGGAGGAGGCAGCCAATCAATGATTCTTTCTCATCATTGATGTTTCTATCTCTCTCTCCCTCTCCCTTCCTCTCTGAAATCAATAAAAATATATTTTAAAAAAAGACCCTGTTATAAAATGGTAATGCTGCCTGGGAGACCCAGCATGGGGTTCCAGAGCCTCAGCAGGGTAAGAAGGGGGACAAGAAGTGCAAGATCTTGTTGTGCCAGAAAGCAAGGAAGTGCTCCAAGAATGAAAGGGATCTGTCAAAAGGACACAGAAGCCAGCTTGAGAAGGCTTCCCGTGGCCAAACTAGGGACAGTTTAAGACCAAAATAAATAATAGTAATGGATTATAGACCATTGAGTGAAATGGGAGATGATGGGTTCTCACTGATATAAAAAAATAAGCGAATATATTGACAGCTAGTTTTTCACATAGTTTCAAAGTAGCTCTCCAGTCCTAGCCGGTGTGGTTCAGCGATTAGTTAGAACATTGGCCTGTGGATTGAAGGGTCATGGTTTCAATTCTAGTCGAGGGCACGTACCTTGGTTGCAGGTTCAGTCCCTGAACCTGGTCAAGGTGTGTGCAGGAGGCAACTGATGGATGTGTTTCTCTCACATTGATGTTTCCCCTCTCTCTGTCTCTCCCCCTCCCACTCTCTCTAAATATCAATGGAAACTATATCCTCTGGTATTAACAAAAAACAACAAAACACAAAGTAGCTCTCCACAAAATACAATTAATTACAAAGGGGAAAAGAGTAACTTCACATGAGATTCCTGACAGATACCCCTTAAATCAAGTGATCAAAGTGAACATCACTAGTAGTGGGACAGTTCAAAATTATGCACACATGATATGATGTAGCCATATCTGTGCTATTCCTGCTAAAGATTCATAACCTGAAGCTAATCAGACAAAGACAGATTGGGGACATCCTCTAAATTATCTGGCTCGTACTCTTCAACAGTGAAAAGGTCATTCCAGACTGAATGAAGCTAATGAGACATGATAACTAAATGCCAGCGGTGACCTCTGTCTGCTGTTAAGGGCTTCATGGGGACAAACTTGGGTGGGTGTGAGGGTTAAATGGCAATAGTGCATCAGTGTTCATTTTCTGTTCTGATGATTGTATTGTGGTTCTGTAGGAGAAAGTCCTTATTCATAGGAAATACACACTAAAGTAGCTAAAAGTGATGGGGCATCAGGGTCAGCAATTCACTCACCTCGGTCCAGAAAGAACTGCTTTGTATTATACTCCAGCTGTTCGTAAGTTCATGATTGTTTCTAAATTTAAAAAAATTAACATGATAATATTCTTGTGCTTGTCATTGTTCTGGCTGAATCAATTTAACATGGCATTTAGCACTACATATATATCAAAATAGAGCAGCCAGATGAGGGCACAGTCTATTACTTAGTGAACACCTTTCAAGATGTTATTTCAGCCCGCTGGTTGAGTATTGACCTATGAACCAGAAGGTCAAGGCTTTTTTTTTTTTTGCTTTTAGTCAAATTGTTTTTTTTTTTTTTTTTAATATTTTTTTATTTTTCGCTTAAAGTATTACAAAGGGTATTATATAAGTGTCCTTTTTTTCCCCCCCGCCCTTGACACACCCCTACCCTCCCTTACCCCCCAGTGTCTTATGTCCATTAGTTATGCTTATATGCATGCATACAAGTCCTTCGGTTGATCTCTTACTCCCCTCCCTCCTGCCCCCCAACTCTCTCTGGCCTTCCCACTGCAGTTTGGCAATCAGTTTGAGGCAGCTCTGCCTCTGTATCTATTATTGTTCAAAAGTTTGTAATGGTCTTTATTATCCATGAATGAGTGAGATCATGTGGTATTTTTCCTTCATTGACTGGCTTGTTTCACTTAGCATAATGCTCTCCAGTTCCATCCATGCTGTTGCAAATGGTAAGAATTCCTTCTTTTTAACAGCAGCATAGTATTCCATCGTGTAGATGTACCACAGTTTTCTAATCCATTCATCTACTGATGGGCACTTAGGCTGTTTCCAGATCTTAGCTATGGTGAGTTGTGCTGCTACGAACATCTGGTTACATATATCCTTTCTGATAGGTGTTTCTGGTTTCTTGGGATATATTCCTAGTAGTGGGATCACAGGGTCAAATGGGAGTTCCATTTCCAATTTTTTGAGGAACCTCCATACTGCCTTCCATAGTGGCTGCACTAGTCTGCATTCCCACCAGCAGTGCACAAGTGTTCCTTTTTCTCCACATCCTCTCCAGCACTTGTCGTTTGTTGATTTGTTGATGATGGCCATTCTGACAGGTGTGAGATGGTACCTCATTGTTGTTTTGATTTGCATCTCTCGGATGATTAGTGACTTTGAGCATGTTTTCATATGTCTCTTGGCTTTCTGAATGTCCTCTTTTGAAAGGTGTCTATTTAGATCCTTTGCCCATTTTTTGATTGGATTGTTTATCTTCTTTTTGTTAAGTTGTATGAGTTCCCTATAAATTTTGGAGATTAAGCCCTTATCAGATATGACGTTGGCAAATATGTTTTCCCAAGAGGTGGGTTTTCTTGTTGTTTTGTTGATGGTTTCTTTTGCTGTGCAGAAGCTTTTTATTTTGATGTAGTCCCATTTGTTCAGTTTCTCTTTAGTTTCAACTGCCCTAGGAGCTGTATCAGTGAAGAAATTGTTTTGGCATAAGTCTGAGATTTTGTTGCCTTTGTATTCTTCTAGAATTTTTATGGTTTCCTGTCGTACATTTAAGTCCTTTATCCATTTTGAGTTTATTCTTGTGTATGGTGTAAGTTGGTGGTCTAGTTTCATTTTCTTGCATATATCTGTCCAATTTTCCCAACACCATTTATTGAAGAGACTATCTTGGCTCCATTGTATGTTCATGCCTCCTTTGTCAAAAATTAATTGAGCATATTGGTTCGGGCTAATTTCTGGACTCTCTATTCTATTCCACTGGTCTATATGTCTGTTCAGAAGGTCAAGGCTTGATTCCCAGTCAGGGCACATGCCCAGGTTGCCACTTGATCCCCTGTAGCGGATGCTCTCTCATCATTCATACTTCTTTTTAAAAATTTTTTTATAGATTTTCTTTTTTTTTTTAACATATTTTTATTGATTTCAGAGACGAAGAGAAAGGGAGAGAGAGAAACATCAATGATGAGAGAATCATTGATCAGATGCCTCCTGCACACCCCACACTGGGGATAGAGCCCACACCCTGGGCATGTGCCCTGACTGGGAATCAAACTGTGACCTCCTGGTCCATAGGTTGATGCTCAACCACTGAGCCATGCCAACCAGGCTCATCATTGATGTTTCCATCTCTCTGTCCTTTTCCCTTCCTCTCTGAAATCAATAAAAATATATTTTTAAAAAAGAAAAAATATATTATTTCAAAAGACAACAAAATCAAAAATAAACAGATGGGACTACGTCAGGCTAAAAAGCTTTTGCAGGCCCTGGCTGGGTAGCTCAGTTGGTTAGAGCATCATCCTGATGTGCCAATGTTTCAGGTTCTGTCCCTAGTCAGGGCACATACACGAATCAACCATGAAAGCATAAATAAGTGGAACAACAAATGAATGTTTCTCTTTCTCTCTTTCTCTCTCTCCCCTTCTCCCTCCCTCCCTCCATTGCTCTCTTCTCTCTCTAAAACAAACAAACAAACAAAGAATCCCCCAAATTTTAAAAAACATTTTTGCACCACAAAGGAAACCATCAACATAACAATAAGGCAACCTACCTGAACGGGAGAAGTTATTTGCAAGTGATATATTGGGGTTAATATAAAAAATATATAAAAAACTCATAAAGCTCAATATAAAAAGAAATCCAATTTAAAAATGGGAAGAGGATGCCCTAGCTGATTTGGCTCAGTGGATAGAGCGTCAGCCTGTGGACTGAGGGGTCCCGGGTTCGATTCCAGTCAAGGGCACATGACCAGGT